GAAATTCTAACTTTCTAATTTCTGCAGATGCCGAGTTCAATGTGCTGACAAATATCTGAACACATTCACCGGTAATCTCTTGACAGCGTGCGTTTTTGCATTTGCGTAAAGGTGCATAAACGTATTTAAAAATATTTAGCAGTAATTATCTACATACTTCCAATCGTCCCTTACAAAGATATTTCGGTTTTATCTTTATTTTGATTATTCATCCCTCATCTTGAAAACCATACATTTGTCCCACTCGAATGATCTGGAGCATTTTTCAGCAAAAAGAGTGGGGGCACACCTTTATGGAATCAGATGTCTCACATTACGAAACAGCTGAGATTTTTCAGTTCAGCGTTAGGAAAAAAAATGATCGCAAGAAATTTTGGTGCAAAGTGATAAATGATATTAGTTCGCTGGGGCGTTTACAATGAGTGGTAGCACGGACATCGCGTATGACGATACATCATTGAACAGCAGCTGAGGATTGTGGTCAGTATCGCTTGCCTGAAAATTATTGTCCGGTAATGATGATTCTGGAAATGAGGAAAAGACTACATCTCTCGGGGCCTGGAGCAGCTCTTCACGTTGCCTTCAGACCACCATCTTCATCTTAGAATTTCTGGGATCTTCATATTGTCAACTTCACATGGCAACCAGATACTCACTACAGTCTCTGGAATAGAAGTATACCCACCTTAGACCAAACGAAAACCATTTTGTCAGCCTTTGCACCGCCGTTTTGTCGCACGACGTCGACGTTCAGTACTTGGCCTGGCTCAATGAATGCAAATACAGGATTCACGCGGTATAAGTTGTTGTCGGAACATTTCACCTTTGAAACAAAAGTGATTATCGCAAATAAAAAGTTGACCGGCACAATTCAAAATATCTTAATTTTTTATCAAGTAAAAACGTGTGCCCTTTGCTGCCTGTTGGAGCCAAGCATCAAAAAGCGCTTGTTTGTAGTTGCCAAGAGAGACGACTCAGCACTGCCTTTCGTGCGAGGCGAATGACTTGGCTCGTTTGATGTTCCTCCTCCAAGAACAGCTCTTACAAAAGAACAGAAATAAATCTAGGCCGAACCTGTAGGCTAAGAATCAGCCGCTTGCCGGTAATACTAATTGGCAGCTAAAATCCGCATCAGCGCAGCACACCGGCAAGTGGCGCTACTATTCCTGCTGAGGGCCGAGGGCTCAATGCTGCCGATGAGACCAGCAGCTGCCAGCTGCCAATTCTCATCGGCTTCACATTGAAAATGAATATTTGGTTTGATTTCGGAAAATCTGTAATTTGGCAAATCTGATTCATTGCCCCTGCAGCAGGGAAAAGCTGGGGTTGTTACTTTTATGGCTCGGCGCTCGTCGCTTGCGTTTGTTAGATACACTTTTTGTACGCCCCCGGAGGTGTTCCAATTCAGCGATTTCGGCTCCATTTTCAGACCGGGCTTCTCATCCTCTGCAAAAATTTTTTCCAAATAGCACGCATGTTTTTTCATCGCTTCCATTGTATCATATATCACTAGATATCAGCCTTCTTAATTTTGAATTCGAGAACTACGGCAGC